ATATATATATATATATGTATATATATATATGTATATATATATATCCCGAGCGGCACAATTTGACGATGATGATCAAATGATCGTCATATGAGCGTCATCGTCTGACGATGACGATTGTATGACGATTTTTTTTTTTCTAAAATATCATGACGATCATATGACGATCATATGAAAGTCATGAATGACGATGACGTGAAAATTTTGTGATTGCTGAGACCAATTTTTTATTCAATACTTCAAGCATTTTTCTTTTAAACATTTAAATCTCAGTTACCTTCGATTTTCTAGAAATTTTTTTTCCTCAATTGCAATTGAAAATTTAAAAAAGACAGACGTGTATTTATAAAGTGTTTAAATTGTGAAAAAATTTTGAAGGCATCAGCATTACACCAGTTCAAACATAATGGTTTGTAAATCCAAAAAATTATTGCAAGTTTTACTTTTTTTTAAGCCGATCGGCTTAAAATCGGCTAAATTGAAATTCTGAGCTCACTATAGCTACATGCTGACAAAATATTACACAGAATCATAGTAAAGCATGTAAAGTTCAATTTAAATACTTGAAATGGGTGTCAAATGGCTTTTTTCTATCAAAAAAATCAAAAATTGAGTTAAGCCGAAAAAGTCGGCTTCGATCTCTGATTTTTTCTAACCAGAAATTCATAATGGAGCATTTGAGAGCACTTGGAAGCTCAATTGGAGGGAATCGAGACCGTTCGTCATCAACTAATTCAAGTGTTGATATTTCAAGCATTGCTCCTATAAAAGATCGTGATAGCTTCTTCAGTTTGGAGAAAATGCTGGCAGCACATCGTAAGCAACCTACTACTGATAAAGATTTTTCAAAGAAAAGGTCCGCAATGGTCAACTATTATAAAAGCCATATTCGTCCAATCGGAAGTGCTGCTCCAAAGAATAGTTTAATGCTTTCTTTGTTAGAGATGTATTTTGAAAGTAATTTCATTGATAATTTGTGTTGGAAAGACACTGTAGGTAAGTTTTGACATTTAGGAAAATTTGTTTTGTCATCAATCTAATAAAATTTTCTATCTTTCTAGGATGTGTGTGTTTTAATAAATGTAAAGGCCATTTTGATTTATTCTTTGACATCATAGAAGCTCATACACCTGGCACGTATAGTTCATTAGGTGACTCGTCAACTGCTGTTAAAATATACTTGCATAGACGTCGTGAAAAACAAGCGAAAAAAGCAAAAGAAATTAATCGTCAGTCCCAACCAAACATTGAATATGAAGATAATGATTAATCAAAAATATCACAAAAAGTTGTTTTAGCTAAAATAATATACAACTTCCTCCATCACAATCGTAAGATGTTCAGTTTATCCATTTAATTAACCTTTAATTTTCATTCCTTACATTGTTAAAAAGATTATGTTTTACTATGACAAATATAAAAATTATAAAAATTAAATCACTCAGTTCTATTTATTTAAGATATTTTATTTTTCAGCCCATATTAAGCATATTTCATGATTTTTTATCGTCACTGAACTGTTAACGTGCCGTCGTTATTCCGTCATTATCTCGTCAAAAGACCATCATGCGATCATCATATGACGTTATCGTATGATCGTCGAATGACGATTTTTTTGTCAAATGACGATCATATGGCGTTGTAAATACAATCAAAACGACGTCGTGATAACGTCTTATCGTCATATGACGATCATATGATCGTCATTCATGACGTCTTTGTGACCATGACGATCGTCATATGACCGTCATATGACCGTCATATGACGCTTGTGCGCCGCTCGGGATATATATATATATTTACAAAGTTCATTTATTATACTATGATTCATATCATAAATTTAGGCTTCGTATGAGCCTGCATATTTTTCTGCTTTTTTTTTAACACCGTGTATATAAAATATAAATTTTATGGATTTTCGCATTAAGTGAATCTTCACATTTACATTTTGTAATACGAACAATTTTTTACGTCTTCAATTTCTCTGTTGAATTTCTATACATTATGAAATGCGAATTGGTTTTCAAATATTAGAATTTATATTAAAAGACGTTGCATAAAAGAAAAAAATATGGTGCCCATCTGCTTAGCAGTAATAAAAAGGATTAATAATAAAAAGGATTTTAAAATAAGTAAATAATATCAAAAGAATCACAAGAATATTTATAAGCATTAAATCAAAACATAAAGTTTCTAATATCTTTTAAATATTACATTAAAATTCCACTATTTCACCACATTAAAATGTGTTCTCATCTTGATGCTGGGTTATAAGTCCAGAAAATCAAAGTGACTAAAGGTTTATAAGTCCAGATACAAATTACACCTGGACTTAAAAACCTCACGTGCAGTTCATAAGTCCAGGTACAAATACAGCTGGAATTATAAACTGCTCGAGAGGTTTTTAAGTCCAGGTACATTTTATATCTGGACTTATAAACCTTACGTGTGGTTTATAATTCCATAAAATTTATAAATTTTACTTATAATCTCCCAGTGCGATTATAAGTCCAGATACATTTTTCTGGACTTATGATCCTTAAAAATTATTTTAAGCTTATTTAACTTATTTTAATTTTTTTTTTCTTTAAGGCAATTCTACACATGAATTTTTGAAAACTTCACACAAAGAATTCACATTTGATAATTTTTTTCCTCTAAAGTACCTTATATTATAGGGTGACCATCTGCGTAGTTTTACAACGGACAGTCCTGTATTTCAAAACCCTGTCCTGTATAAATTTGAAAATTTTGTTCCAGGTCCTGTATTTTTTTCACGAAAATTTCCGTTAATTTTCAAATTTTCCTTTATGTCCTGTATTTTTAGGAGATTTTTCAAATGTCCTGTATTTTCATAAAAATTAGATGGTCACCCTACTTATATATCCTTTTAAGCTGCGATTTTCTCAGCAATGCCGCAACCAATTTGAAATCTGTTTTTACAGAAGATGTGAAATTTCAAGCACAAACTTTTCATCTTTCGACATGTTAAGCTATCTTGCTCTATTTCCTCACAAAATTTGAAAAACTGAATTTTCAATCTAAACAAAAACAATACCTTCACTCTTGAATACGGTGTGAACATAATTACATTTTTAACGAATCAAATTCTTAAATTATATGGATCAAAAAAGCTTATTTTTTTAAAATTCAACTCATCTGTAGAATTCACAAAAACTAAAGAAATAGTTTCAAATAATTTTCAAGGATCATAAGTCCAGAAGAATGTATATGGACTTATAATCGCACTGGGAGATTATAAGTAAAATTTATAAATTTTCTGGAATTATAAACCACACGTAAGGTTTATAAGTCCAGATATAAAATGTACCTGGACTTAAAAACCTCTCGAGCAGTTTATAATTCCAGCTGTATTTGTACCTGGACTTATGAACTGCACGTGAGGTTTTTAAGTCCAGGTGTAATTTGTATCTGGACTTATAAACCTTTAGTCACTTTTATTTTCTGGACTTATAATTTTCTGTGCACGATTTTTGTATCTGGACTTATAACCCAGCATCGATCCTGGTTATTAGTTCCCAATTTCCTACTTATTGTATTGTTGGTCATAGTAAATTGTCACAGTACAAATTCCTTTTGTATGGTTTTCAATGAGTTTCGAAAATTGTAAGGTTTTGAAATTTTAAATTTTCAAACACCGTTAAAATAATTCATAGGGTTTAATCAACTCTTAACAATCAAATATTAACATAAGGAACTTTAATATTGTGGCGCAAAACTAGTTAACATTTTTACTGATCTGTGCGAGGAAAATGCGCTTAGTTTGTCCGTTCACACCTGTAACGGCGACTTCTACACTAGTTTTTAATATAACCATTATAATATTTGTATTAACGCTATTTATCTTTCCGATATTAAAAAATCAAGCCAACTATTTTGTTTCAATTTTCTATTTTCTAGTACAATACAATATGTGAAAACTTCCTAAGCAAACAAAAAACGTTTAAAATGTACATAACATGAAAACTCATGTCTGTAATCAATAGATTCGATAAAATTTTAGTTCTTTTGCTTCTATTCAAATATCTATTCCTTTTGATATTTTTTTCGCATTGTTAATGCATGATTATGGCATGCTATCAATTATACATTAGCTATAAAGCAGAGATCGAAGCCGATTTTTTCGGCTTAACTCAATTTTTGATTTTTTTGATAGAAAAAAGCCATTTAACACCCATTTTAAGTATTTAAATTGAACTTTACATGCTTTACTATGATTCTGTGTAATATTTTGTCAGCATGTAGCTATAGTGAGCTCAGAATTTCAAGTTAAAGAATGTTAAGCCGAAATTTAAGCCGATCGGCTTAAAATCGGCTAAATTGAAATTCAGAGCTTACTATAGCTACATGCTGAAAAAATATTTCAAAGAATCATAGTAAAGCATGTAAAGTTCAATTTAAATACTTAAAATGGGTGTTAAATGGCTTTTTTTTATCAAAAAAATCAAAAATTGAGTTAAGCCGAAAAAATCGGCTTCGATCTCTGCTATAAAGATTTACATCAAATGCTCCAACCAATCAATGTTACTTCGAAAACTATCAAACATATAAAAACACACAATGTGCAAATTATTGTATGCATGTATTTCTGTTTTAACTTCTTTTGACAAATTAAAAGCCTAGTTATGACGTATTTATAAGAATAAAGAGCATCGAAAAACCAGCAATGACGTAGCAAAAATGAATTGGATGCATTTTTGTTGTTCTATATAGTCAAATTGTGCCTAAGTACATTATATTGATTAGCCATGCAATTGTGTAGGTTTAAAAAAATATGATAAGCTGATATGTTTCATATAAAATTTTAAAAGTAATTATAAATTTTAATGATTTTAGTTTTTGTAAGATTAAATTAAGTCTTTGTTTCATTTTTTAAAAAAGAGAACCGCCACTGTACTTTACAATGATAAAATATCATATATGTTAAAAAAAAATGCTCCAGATAATTTTATAAAATATGTTTAATTTTTATTTTATTATAGATCTTAATGACTGAGAAAGAGAAATCAAAACTCGTTTCAACAGAAAAGCGGAAAGCAGCCGAAGAAACAGAAGACTTAAAAAAGGATTTAAAAAAGGTTTTGAACAGTAAATTTTACGTATGGATTCAGTTTTAAATGCATTCTTATTCCGCAGGCAAAACTCGAAACTAAAGCTTTAAAAGCCAAAAGACCTGGATTCACAGATGATAGATATTATGAAACATCATATTACATTGAAAATGGTAAGCGATAATTTCATATCAAATAATATGGGCTGGTTAATAAACGATGTCTAACATTTAAAAGGGATGGAGAAAGGGATAAGGGGTTTAAAAAAAATCCATTTTTGATAGATTTTTTTTTTCTTTTTGACTTTCACAAAATCGTAACACCCCTCTCCCTACTCCTTCAACCCTTAAAGTTACTTGTAATAAATTGAATGTAAAAATGGAGGTCAATTTCAACTTCGTTTTTAAAAATATCAAAAATTGTAGTGAACATTTTTGAGTTGTAAATCGAGTATATCGTACAAGTTATATTTTTTGTATATTACCTAGATGTTTTAAAAAATTCTGAAAATAAAACTCGAAATGGCAAGCACATGAATCAATTTGCATCATCATTGACTTTAAAAAAAGTAAATGTTTTCATCTCCATAAGGACATGCCTGAACGTAAAGTATCATAAAAATGTGGCTCATACTTACAAAAGTAAAAAATAAAAAGTTAAATAATTCTCTTTAAAGTCACATTTTCATTCCATTCTTACTATGGTTACCATAATACAAGAAACTTAGGTATGGATAAAACATTCCATTGCATATACTTACAACATGTATATTGACTGAATATCATGAAATGCCTTATAAGATATATTTACATACCACCATCCACCATCATATTGTCATGCCTTCTTGCCTCCCCTCAAGCTGTTCTCCATTTTTTCATTCCGCATATAATTGTATGAACGAAAGAGTGCCTGCATGTAAATGTATATATTTATGTAACTTTTCTTACTCTCCTTTTTCAGGTTTACGTAAAGTATATCCATACTACTTCACTTTTACGACTTTCACCAAAGGTCGTTGGGTTGGTGAAAAGATTCTCGATGTATTTGCACGCGAATTTCGAGCTCATCCGGCAGAAGAGTATGAGCGATGCATAAAAGCTGGAACATTGACTGTTAATTATGAAAAAGTGCCAATAGAATACAAACTGAAACATAATGATCTCTTAGCTAATGTTGTACACAGGTAATATAAACATCTAATCATTACGATGCACATACAATTTTATTGTAATATATTTACAATATTATTATTGTATCTTATGTATGCGTTTTTCTACGTATGTATACGTATCTATTTTCAATTAGATTTTGTTTTACGTTTTTCAACCCTCACTTCATCATTTTAGTTTTATTTTGTAAATGTGATTTTTATCAACATCCCTTTTTAAATTACTTCTTTCTGTTTTTATTCCTGTTATCCTCCTTTTTCAATTTTAACTTCACAGCAGAGTTGCGATACAGGTCGCCTGTCACAGGCACAGGTGACAGATCTGTCACAGATATTGTCTATTAACATTCGGTGATATGGGTAGATATGACAGATTTGTGGCTGTGACAAGCAAAAAAATATTGCCTGTCACAGGCACTGCCTGTTAACAGATAAGTGACAGGTGATATTCTGACGCGGAAATTATAATAACTGGATAACCTTATTAACATTTTTCTCTAATTTTACTACGTTTTTCTTGTGTATTTAAATGTGACTCTAGCAAATTTGTTTCCAATAATATCCAAATATAATGTGACATTTTCTCTCGTTTCAATCAAAATTTTCTCATTATATATTATGGATGCTGTCACAGACACTACATAAAATAAAAGAGAACAAATGAAAAAAGCTTCTTTTCTCGTTTGTCTAAATATCCTATCTACGATAACACGTTATATACGCAACGAGTGAAATGTCATATGCCACCTCCATATAACTGTAACAACTTTGTTCCTATGTATCAGGGGTGTAGCCTGGTATTTGAAGGAGAAGGGGACCAAAAAAAATTTTCTTATGGAAAAATTTGGATTATATAAATAAATAATCTGCACCAAAAACCCCATCTGGCTACTCGTCTGCTATGTTTGTTTAAAATTATTTGTTTTGACGTTTATTGGTTTTGAAAAAAGGTTTTATAATTAATACAAGAAGAGTAGTGAAATTCTTTAATTTAAAAACTTTTTTAATGATATCCATGATATCATAATTAATATAAAAAGGAGGTACATTTAAATACATTTATGAATGAGATAATTTTTCAAAAATGTTTTTTTTAAAAAAAACACACAATCCTTAATTTCAGAGATCGAAGCCGATTTTTTCGGCTTAACTCAATTTTTGATTTTTTTGATAGAAAAAAGCCATTTGACACCCATTTCAAGTATTTAAATTGAACTTTACATGCTTTACTATGATTCTGTGTAATATTTTGTCAGCATGTAGCTATAGTAAGCTCAGAATTTCAATTTAGCCGATTTTAAGCCGTTTGGCTTAAATTTCGGCTTAACATTCTTTAACTTGAAATTCTGAGCTCACTATAGCTACATGCTGAAAAAATATTACACAGAATCATAGTAAAGCATGTAAAAATCAATTTAAATACTTGAAATGGGTGTCAAATGGCTTTTTTCTATCAAAAAAATCAAAAATTGAGTTAAGCCGAAAAAATCGGCTTCGATCTCTGCTTAATTTCATATTCTATTTCGCATCCATGCAAACATTTATACACATACATAAAACACACATACTTACTCCACTTTTTATTTCTTATCAGCATGATCATAATTTATTTATAGTTTTTTTAAGGAATCATTCACGTATAATGCCATTTATGATCATTTAAATCAGTGTTTCTTGAGCATAGAGCAGTAGTGTTCGTTGTTTTGCTTGAATATGACACTAAATGATAGTCAAAAACTTTTTGCATCGCTACCTAAAATTTGAGAAACTATGAACAATGATCATGAAAGTTTGTGCCAAAGAGAACGACAGAAAACCTTATTCTGAACTTCATAAGTGAATGACTCCTTAATACATAATGTATAATAAAAAAAAAAAAATATTAGAACGCAGAAATTAGATAGATATATGTAGAAACAAGAAAAAGCTTCGTGTTCATTGTAGTTTCTTTCTTTTATGTGTCTTTAAAGCAAATTGTAGGAATTATAACTATAGAATGAAGATTGTAGTTAAACAATAGTATTTTATATAAAAATAAGATAAAGTTCTTGACATAGAGAACAAATTTAGTTATTTAAATTATAGTACATTCTAAATTCACGAAGAAAAAATTGAAATTGTTCTTTCCGATTCTTAAATTTTTTTACACGATAAAGTTTTTTATTGCAGGACACCTTTTTTAATAAGTAATGAAAAACGATAGCAAGTTGATTTTCCAGTGGACTGTATTTCAATTCCAATAATAAAAAGAATTACAAAAGAAAATTCTATTTATTCACAATTTCAAATTATACGTGATCAATTTCCAAATTATCAATTTCCACAAAATATCAAATATATTCCAAGCCTCCTTAAATCATGATGAATTCCATTCATCAGTAATTTAATTTTATTATTTAAGGAACTATTTTCGTTTTGCTCCTTTATAACATAAATTAAAAAGATTTTCATTTTTAGAAGAATATCCAAGAATATTGCCTAATATATCCTTTTGGTTTCTAATTCAAGAAGTATTTATCAAAACATACACTCGAAAATTCTTATACTCTATTTGTGAAAGCATCACGATTTAGTTTAAATTAGCAATCCAGTCACAATTCAATGTGTTATATTAAATTTTAAAAAGATTGTTACTGCTACTGTCGATGATATCTAACATTACCGTAGGCAGGGGCGTAGCCAGAAAATTTTAAAGGGGGGGGCCCATTTCCGAAAATTAAAAAACCGTTATTTTGTATCCTTAAATCTACATTCATTCTTCATAAGTTTAAATATTTAATTCATTATTCATAGATTAAATTTAATTTTTCGTGCTGATTTTGACATTTCTTTCATCACTTCCTCTACATTAACTGGTTCTTCTCTATAAATACTTAATAAAACAATCATCAGATTTTCGTAGGGGGGGGGGGCCCGGGCCCCCTATGGCCCCCCCCTGGCTACGCCCCTGACCGTAGGATATTAAATTTATCTTTTCTGCATGTTCTTCACAAATCAGACCTATTATCAATAATTCACAGCTCCAGTAAAATTTAATTTAATGCTGGATCGACATTTAATTGGAAGAAATAAAATTAATGGCTGTCTGCTTCATTTTATCATAATAAAAGAAATTTAAAATTTAAAAAAAGATTTCGTTCACATCATTTAATGGAATAAGGAAATTTTAAATTATAATAATAATAAATTTCCTAATTAACCATAACGAAAGTGATTTTCATGCTTAAGAATTGACAACAGTAGCTAAGCATTGATAGGAGAGCTTTAACGATTTATTACGTGTTGGAAATTTTTAAAATGAATGTATATTTTCACTTAAATTTTTTTTCATTATATTCCTCTTTCCATTAATTCATATCTGCCTAAACAGAACGAACCATTGCCATGAGCATTGCTATTCTATTTTTTGTTTTTAAGTTGTATACTAATAAATTACAAAACTTATTATGAAGCAAATGATATTTTGTTTTTATCCAACCGACAATATTAAATGATGATAGTTATTAAAATTTTAAAAAATTACGGGTAGGAGGAGAGGTGGGGGGAAGAGAGAAAGTGTTCCTGCTTTAATGCAGAAGCTTATTTTTACTACGTTTTTTTTAAAAAAAATTGATTTCCCATTAATACTTTCTTCATTCTACAATTCTACAAATATTACTAACGATTTTATAATTATCATTAGACTACTAGCAAATAATTCCATTTTTTGATTTATTTTTTTTTTAAGGACAATCGGGAATGATGTTTGAATTTCTTTGAAGTTTGATTTATTAACTCAAATATTCTTGTATTGTCCCTGCATGTCTATTTTTTCATTTTGTGATAAAACAAGAGAAAAATATAATTTGAACATAAAATATTTTATGTTTTTATTTTATTTTATTAAGAATACATTAAAACCTAGAACAAAATTAAACATACGAAAAATATTTATTAGAAGTAATTGATTATATCAAATATATACATTGAGTGTGTTGTATTTTCCAGACATGAAGTTCCAGTAACTAGTCAACCAATCGCAATAGTGTTCATGGACGATGATATTGTGGTTGTGAATAAACCAGCATCTATACCCGTAAGTGGCTTTTGAGACCGCCATTATTTCTTTTATTTTTTTCTAATAGTTAATAACTTACCCTAATTATTTAATTTGTAATTTGATAATTACAATGGAAAAAGAGCAAATGAAATGAAGTTCCATTTTTGTATGAATTCATAGTTCATTTAATCTTCTGTCTTAAATTAAGAATTTAGTTACGATGTTCAAATACAAGTAACATTGTAATTAAATATTTTAAAAATTAAGATCTAGATTGAATGCAGAAAGGTTGAATTTTTTTTAACAATAATTATCCTGCCCTAATGAAGACTATTTTGATATTTTGGAATTTAAGCTTTGTTTTCAAAACTATCTTAACTATATCTCTTTATAAGTTTTCATGGATTGTTCAGACAAAGTTGAATTATTTGGAATTCTGACTATATGTATGTACAAATAAAAAATAACCAAATATTTGAACAAATACCAAATAATTTTTACAAACAGGTTAAAAAATATATTTATTCACATACCAAAAATATGTTTTTTCCATGACATTTTCTAATGGCTATTCACTATTGTTAAAAACTACGAATCCAGTGAACTTTCAGTTTCAGTTAAAATTTTCATTTAGGATGTCCCAACACTTCAAAAACTATCATTTATATCAAATATAAATTATGATATAATCATTATTTATGTGATTGTTTTGATAATTTTCAGCCGAAAACAGCACTAAAATCATCGGCAAATGCTTAAAAGTAATTAAGCTTAGTTTTGGTGCTGTATTTTGGCTGAAAATTAAAAAAATATCAAAACAATGAATAGAAAGAAAAAAAGGACCCCTAAATGGATAATTGAGAAAAAACTTCCTTTAAGACTATAGGAAATATAAGAATGCTGAATACCTTTTATAAATACGTTTAATGGATTGGAATTATGGAACTCAGTTCTTAATTAAACAACTTGAATATTATTAAAAAGTGAAAAAATCCTTAAATATCCAAACATTTCGTTGTTTTTTTTTTTGTATTTGAAAACCCTGTTTTGTAAAATATATCCATGATAATGAATCTCGAATTTGTGATTTCGAGAGCATTTTTGCATACCTCTTCGCCCTGCACTTAAAATGCTTCTTCCAATTAAATCAAATTTTAACAAAAATATTTTGTTTTACTGTTTTCTTTCTCTCTTTAAATCAAATCTCCTAGTTTCTCTTGTGAGCAAATGTTTGAGTAAAAAATTCTTCTTCTTCCTTCTTCATTTTATTTATTGAAAAAATTTAAACAAATTTTTTTAATTGAAATACTTACTATCTTCAACATTCTGTTTGGTTGTTTGAAACCAATAGAAATTCAACTTTACATTTCTATCTCAAATATTTTTTTTTTAAATTGCAATATTCAAAATATTATAATATATTAATTAAATCAGTGAATTCAAATGAAGTTGAATCAAAAATTAAGAAATGCTTTAAAATTTTATTTTATTCAACAACATCCTGTTTTAAAAACTTTAACTCACATCTTGTCATATGTTTATGTTTAAATTTACAAATATTATTCATTGAACCAAAAATATTTTGACAGAATTAACTTTTTATTATAAACCTTATAAAATAAATTTAAATTTTATTCCCCATATTTTTAACCAAAACTTAAAGTAGTAAAGAGTTGTTCACTAGAACCTGGTGTAAAATAACTCCATGAAAAACTCGGATATCATATAATATTGTCAAATATCTGTATAGAAGATATATGAACAGTAAAAGTAGATATATGTAGATCATTAATATCTAATACAAGTCGTATCTTGAAAAAAAAAACCAAGATCCAGTAATTCAAGTCCGAAACGAAAAAATAAGATCCATTTGCAGTTAAACCATATAAACTAAAATCCAGAGATCGAAATTTAAGCCGATCGGCTTATAATCGACTAAATTGAAATTCTGAGCTCACTATAGCTATATGTTGACAAAATATTACACAGAATCATAGTAAAGCATGTAAAGTTCAATTTAAATACTTAAAATGGTAGTTAAATGGCTCTTTTCTATCAAAAAAAATCAAAAATTGAGTTAAGCCGAAAAAATCGGCTTCGATCTCTGCTAAAATCAATTAGGATTTTGTTGGATATAAACCACATACAAATTTTTCGAAATTTAAAAATCAACAGCTTTTTGAAATTGAAAGGAATGTTATTTATAAATAAGTTATGCCATCTAAAAAAAGAAAGAAATTTTAATTTAATTAACAAGCTAAAAGGATCTTTTAAAAACAACAAAAAACCTGCAAACCTACGAATTAGCAGCTATCTAACACAAAAAACCAGAAAACTCCATATGCTTCCAGTTCTGAGTACTCGTGGCACCCTGGAAGCCAGCCAGTCAGTCAATGTGAAACCTATAACCATATTCTTTCCTAAGGAAATGTTTCCTAAATGCGCAAAAAAAGCAGGAAATCACAAGAACGTCAATGACAAAAATATTTGATAAGAAGTTATAAGTCCGTTAAATCAAATAAACCAGAGATCGAAGCCGATTTTTTCGGCTTAACTCAATTTTTGATTTTTTTGATAGAAAAAAGCCATTTAACACCCATTTTAAGTATTTAAATTGAACTTTACATGCTTTACTATGATTCTGTGAAATATTTTTTCAGCATGTAGCTATAGTAAGCTCTGAATTTCAATTTAGCCGATTTTAAGCCGATCGGCTTAAATTTCGGCTTAACATTCTTTTACTTGAAATTCTGAGCTCACTATAGCTACATGCTGAAAAAATATTTCACAGAATTATAGTAAAGCATGTAAAGTTCAATTTAAATACTTAAAATGGGTGTTAAATGGCTTTTTTCTATCAAAAAAATCAAAAATTGAGTTAAGCCGAAAAAATCGGCTTCGATCTCTGAAATAAACTAATGAAGAAAAACTTATAAAACTATAAAAAGTGAAAAATAAAATATTTATACTTAATTAATTTTCCAATTTTACTATTATTGACAATATGTAAAATATAATCTACATTTAACAATGTATAAACACGATTTGATTTATCTTTTATGCATAATCTATCTAATAAAAGAAAAAAATAAACACACAACATAAGATACAAGACATATAATTAATTATGTTTATCAGCGTATTTATTTTCATTTATAATTAAAAAAGGAAGTTTTAATTAGTTTTTTGTTCTGTTACATTTTTATTAATTTTTGTTTCTCTTTTTATTTCTTTTCCTATTCATCAACTTTGATAACTTTTCTACCTTTTGACCACCTTAATATGGTGTAAATACACAAAAATATTATATTATGAAAATAACTATATTTTTCAATACAAAAATTGAATGAAAACAATATGCAACATGGAAAATATAAAACAAAAACTTATTAATTACAAAAAATATTTGAAACATATTTCAAATTAATATAAAAAGGCATGAGACGCCAGTTTTAAATCATCCAATTAAAATTATTTATGTTGACAACGATCTTGTTGTTTTGGACAAACCATGCTCGTTGCCGGTGAGTAAAAATCAAAAAACTGATCAAAAGAATTGTTTTTAAAGAATTTGGAATTGCTATATATCTATTTATTTATATACTTATCTTTAATTTTTTAAGTTGTACCTTCCTTTTATTTTTCCTGCAATGATACAAAATTATTTTCTTGCAAAAAAATGCTCCGGCAGAAAAAAGGATCCAAAATATTTGTGACATTTAATGTTTGTTATAAGCAATAAGATTTGTTGTTGTTGATTTTAGTTGTTTTGATTTTTTTTTTTTGTTGTCATAACACTTCTTTAGAGATTTAGGGTAAATGACTTTGAAATTTGCGCAACCTTGAAATTTGCGCACTCGTATGAAAACGAAAATTTTAAAATTATATGTAAAAATGTCACTTCTGTTCAGACGATCAATGGGAAATGTTTGTAGAACACCAGCGCAGATGTTTTTGCATCATTTTTAGTGATATTAAACCATTAGGAAGCTCAATAATTTGCACCCGAAAAATCCCATACAAAAAAAATATTTGTTAAAAATTTGATTTTGGGATGTATGTGATAGATTTAGTTGAGATTTTGGTACCAAAAAATGAAGATCTGACGTTGCTTCAAATTATTTTGATGGTGCAAATTCAAAAGGATGAGTAGAACTGCTTTAAAATTCCATTTTAAAAGTTCCCATTTTTGAACCTTGAATTTTGCGCAAAATTTTCTGAAAATTTTGAAATTTGCGCACTTTGTATCGTAGAAATCGACAGAAAATTTTGTCAACATTAATTAATATTTAAATCCAAAAATGAGGATTTTAGAAGGATTGTTGATGAAATGGATATGAGGACATAGGACAAAAATTATGCAAATGATTTCTAAATATTTATTTCAATAAAAACGCCAGCAAAAGTCAAGAAAACCGTCAAAAATGATCAAATTTGAGCACTTCAAGGAAACATCCATGAAGGTCCTGTTTAAGTATGGAAAGTCATCAGTTAATAAAGAATGGAGACAAAAATATGTTTAATGCTTAAAATATTTTTTGTTTATTTGATATGTTATAAATAAATCCTGACATTTAGAAGTGCTTTAAAATTGACATTTGTTTGATATTTGATATGTGAGTTTTGAACTGTTCTTGTCAGGGCTTGAAATAAATTTTCAAGACATGTTTTTCTTGATGTCTCTTCTTGACATGAAATTGAACGAGCTAGCCACATATACACCAACCACAAAATAAAACATTCTTTCTTGTAGAAATTCTTGATCAAAAAGTTCTTAAAAATTTAAGTCCATGGCTCCATTTTTTGCTTGAATTTAGAGTTGATGCACCAAATAAATGTAAAGAAAAATGTTTGTTTACACATTTTTCTTTAAAATATGTCAAAGATTGCTACTGAAAAAGTGCGCAAATTTTAAGATTTTTTTGCGCAAATTTCAAAGTTTTCTGCGCAAATTTCAAAGTTCAACTTTAAAAGTCAAATTTCTCTGCATTGACGCAGCAGAGCTTCCTTTACACATATAAAGAAGAAAATATCTT